CACCTCATGGGTATTTCGAATTCGCGAGGATGCCGTTCGGGTTAAAAAACGCACCAGCCACGTTCCAACTGCTCATGGATCTTGTATTAACTGGACTACAAGGCGAGGAGATATTCGTATACCTGGACGACATCGTCCTCTACGCAAGGTCACTCCATGAGCATGAGCATGATGTCAAGTTCAATAAGCTGATAGGAAGGCTAAGGAAGGCGAATCTGAAACTAGAGCCTGACAAGTGCGAATTTCTGAAGAAGGAGGTCATTTATTTGGGTCACATAATTGGCAAGGATGGAGTGAAACCCGATTCAAAGAAGCTACTGGCTGTAAAGGAGTCCCCGCGACCGAAAAAGGCAAAGAACGTTAGGCAGTTTTTAGGACTCACAGGATATCATAGAATGTTCATTCCGGGGTTCTCAAAACTGGCGAAGCGCCTTACGGAGTTATTAAAGAAGGAAGTGCCCTTTAAATGGGACAAGCCACAGGAAGAAGCATTTGTGGTATTGAGAGACACCTTGTGTGAGGAACCAGTACTTCAATACCCAGACTTTAACCGCGAGTTCAACGTGACGACGGATGCATCAGGTTACGCGATAGGTAGGGTGCTCAGCCAAGGACAAGTAGAGAAAGACTTATCTATATCATATTGTTCAAGACTATTGAATACGGCTGAGAGGAATTACTCTACCATCGAACACGAAGTTTTAGCCATAGTCTACGCAGTGCATTACTTTAGGCCGTATTTGTACGGAAGGGAGTTCACACTGGTGACGAATCATCGCCCAATGTGGCTCAAATCATATAAGGATCCGACTTCGCGTCTGACCAAATGGGGTTTAAAACTTGCGGAGTATAATTTTAAAATAATTTACAAGGCAGACACGGCTAATGCGAACGCCGATGCCCTTTCAAGGAATCCGCCAGAAAAGGCACAGGTTTTGCCATTACATCTAAATGACAGCTCTTCGAACGATTCATACTCCCACAGGTCAGACTCGAACGGATCCGACGCTATAGATTTAAGTAGGGTGTCTCGTGAGATGGAGGAAAGTAATACGAATAACTCTCCTAATCTCGACAAGAGCGATTTGTATTCTACCACGGAAATTTTATTTGAATTGGCTTCTCCACCATATAGGTGGAAAAATCAGGTGGAGCATACGTACAGAATTTCACAGAACCTTATAGAGACAAGGGACAGATTAACAATGCGGAAAGACAATCTGGTCATATTTATTACACAAAAGGGAGATCCGTGTGATGATGGAGCAAAACAATTACGGAAAATGAATAAGCTTCCGAAATACAAAGACCTGACATTAAGACGGGCAAGGGTAACAAAATATGGGTCGAAAAATTTAATTTCATTGGTTATTAAAGAGAACATAAATATTGTAACGGACATAGAAATTTTTAATGATGCTCTGGAATCACTCTTGTCGATAACAAGGGAACTGGATTTGCGTACAGCAAGCATCTCCAGGACGGACAAACTGGACGACATACCTTGGGGACATATTGAGCAAAGGTTAAGAGATTTATTCGATACAGAGAAATGCACAATTTGCTTTTGCAGAAATTTAATTAGAATTAATTAATTAGAATAAAAAGGGAGGACGAGCGTGAGGACTTAATACGTGAGAATCACTCATCGGCTTTAGGGGGTCACAAAGGAGTGACCAAAACATACAACCGAATTAGGGAAAGATATTTTCGGGAAAACATGAAGGGGCAAATACAAGCCTTCATACAAAATTGTCTAGATTGTCAATTAAAAAAATTAGTCCGGGTAAAGCATAAACAACCTATGGTGTTGACGATACACCGGGATCGGCTTTCGATAAAGTGGCGCTCGATGTAATGGGTCCTCTAGCTCTGACATTATTTGTCGTGATAAGGAAAATAAATATATCTTAACAATCCAGGATCAACTTACGGAATTTTCATTGGCCATCCCTCTCGTGAACACCACATCAATAGATGTAGCAAACGCGTTAGTGGTAAATTTAATATGTAAGTTCGGAGCACATAAGGCCATTCTTACGGGTCAAGGGACAAATTTTCTAAGTACTTTAATAAAGGCTATAGCGCGCAAATTTAAAATTAGGCAGTATAAAACAACAGCCCAACTACCCACTATAAAACAACTACCCACAATTTATCGGATCGCTGGAAAGATCCCATCATGTGCTCATCGAGTATTTAAAACAATTCATTGACAAAGAGAAGGACTGGGGTGAATGGGTAGAAATGGCTATGTTTTCGTACAATACGAGCGTTCACGAGGGAGCTCGTTACACATCGTACGAACTTGTCTATGGTAAATTGGTGAGGGTACCAGCATCAGATCCACCACTGGACGATGAAATGAATCGGACGTACTTCGAATATTATATCTCACTAGTGAATAAGATAAATAGGATACAGCAGGTAGCACGACAAAACCTGATGAGATCCAAGGAAGTTTCCAAAAGGTATTATGACAAAAGGCACACCCTTTAACGTTAAAGGAAGGAGACAAAGTATTTTTACTCAAGGAACCAACAAATAAATTTGGCGACTAATATACTGGATCTCATCAGATTTTAGAAATGCTACCCCACAATAATGTTAAATTACAAATAGGAAATCGTACTAAGATAGTTAATATAAATAAATTAAGGCTAAGATAAAATAAGCTAAAATAAGTGTGTTGCAGAGACTATGGGGCTTCCGGTTGTATTAATCGTACTGTTAGGAACCATTAGTGGGGGCGTCTGCTTACTAGGATACGACTGTGGTGGAACCTCCATGAATATCACCACGATGTCATTACTGGACACGGGAGAATGCACCACTCAGTCGCACGCACCAAACGCCAAGGAGGTTTACATCCAGCTCTTACAAATAACGGAATATGACAGGACGCACGTGTACCAGTGCCATGTGGACAGACCAGGGAGTGATGTGATCCCAATCTCCGCCGCCAGGGAGAACGCGAGATCACCCATTCTGGAGAGAATTTTGGCAGCTCGCAAAGACAAGTCGTCAGATTACGAGGATCAAGAACGACTTAATTAAGGAAGGAGGTGTCACGTAGGCGCCTAACGACGTGGATGAACTTATATCCAGGGTAAAGATTATTTAAATCAGGAATAAAATGTCGATAACTTCACATATTTTCAATACTACTTAGTCGAATTTCAGCGAGCGTTCGAAACAAGTCGTTTTCAGAAAGCATACGGAATAAGTTCTTACTGTGAATATTGGAAATTAAGGCTTCTGGTCTAAAAGTAAAGTATTAGGAAAAAGTCTCAGATAGTTTATAATAAAAATAATAATTTTAAAAACACAAGTCTTAAGGAAAAGATTTAAGAAGTTTTTGGTTAATTTCTACGTAAAGTTCTTAAAAGTTTACAGCGATCTTAAGGAAGATCAGAGTGTTGTTAACAATTATTTTTGGACAGTATTTCCTACGAATTAAGATCAGTTCTTTGTCGAATCGAATAAAGGAATTATTCTTGGAATCATTTTGAAGAAGTGACAAGCTCTTATGTTTTATAAGTTAATTTTTAATTTTTGATCTGTTCTAACCGAATATTTCCTTTATACGTAGAATATCAGGTTTTGAGTGAAAACAAAACATTATTTTGGTTAAGTGAAGAGTTTAAGAGTACAATTTAATTTAAATTAATAAAATAAACGCATTCGCGTACGGTATCGATAATTTAAATATTAACATAAATAAAAATGAACTGTTATTTTGTGTACATCATTTTATTAACAATTATATACTTTATTTGTTGGAATTACGTGTCATCACTTATCACTTACATTAACACCCAAACCTTCTCCCATTCAACTTTTTCTTAATAATCAAGGGTATCTGGGCACAAGGAAAGGCAACTCAAGGAATAAATTTTTATTGGTGGATTATACATTTTGGTAAGTCAAAGGAGACTTCAACAAACCATTTTGATAGTAGCAGTGGACAGTTTTTATGATATCAGACATTTTTATGAAAAGGAATAAATTACTACTCTCAACCCTAAGCTACGTGCCAAAATGAGAAGAGTTTGCGAGGTCGCAGTAAATGGTTTTAATCCTTGATTTGACCGTATCAGCAGCTCAAGTAATTTAAGTTTTCTTTGTTCATCCGACCATCTGGGACGTAACATTTTACTAACCCTAAACTATCAGCTGTCAAATGGTTTTTTAATAGGGTTGCCAAGACTTTATTGCACAAATGGTGGCAAATTCAAATCTTGTAACACCTTTTATAATATTTTCACAGTGTAATCTTCTGAGGGTAGATTGCATTCCTGAAGTATTGTAGTTGCTGAGCATTGTGATAATTCTCTTATATTTCCATGCAAGAAGCATGTTATCCTTTCTGTATGCAACAGTTTTTTTTTGTTGAAAATTTTGGTTTTCATATTTGTATAGATATGCCTTTTCGGTTAACTTTTATTGTACCAGTAAGATGACATTTCATTTTTAGAAATTCTTCTGTTAAATGAATGTCAGTGTACATATGCTATCTTTGTGCATCAAGAATTCTATCTAACAACTTTATATACAAATAATGGGTTGTTCGGAAAGTAATTTCGTTTTTTTTGTGAAAATGAAACACAATTTTCGTATAATAAACAAATATTTTATTAAATTATATATTGATCATTCTGGTCCAATACCTTTTGCCATCTTTCTGGTAGTAGCATGATTCCACACTCATAAAATTTTTGGTCTTTGCTGGCATAAAACTGATCGAAGTAGTTTTCGACCTCCTCATTTGAAGTGAAGGTTTTACCATCTAAAAAATTTTGCAGTGACCGGAACAAATAATAATCCGTAGATACCAGAAGATCTGGAAAATATGGTGGGTGTGGCATTGTATCCCATTCAAGCTGTAAAAGCTTTTGGCGAGTGACCAAACTTGTATAAGGTCTCGCATTATCTTGGAGAAACACTACAAACAACTTTTCTGTTGATTAATTTTGGCCTTTTCTGTTGAAGTGCATCATTCAGTTTGTCCAGCTGATGACAGTAGACTTCCGAATTAATTGTTGTGTTATCCGGTAAAATCCCAAAAAAACGATTCCTTTAAAATCCCACCAAATAGACAGGATTATCTTTCTTTGATGGATATTGGCTTTGGAAATGCTTTGAGCTGGTTCATCTTTTTTGCTCCATGATCTTTTGCGTTTGACATTGTTATATACAATCCATTTTTCGTCCTCAGTAATGATGCGCTTCAAAAATGGATCATTTTCGTGACGTTTGAGAAACGAATCACAGACGTCAACACGACGACACAAATTTCTCTCCGTGAGAACATGGGGAACCCATATATCGAGCTTCGAAGTTAAACCCAGACCTTTCAAGTGGTCATAAACAGTTGAATTTGATAAATTTAACCTCTCACCAATCTCACGAATTGTTATTCGCTGGTTTGCATCAACTAATGCCTTTATCGTGTCTTTATCAGCTTCAACCAGCCTTCCAGAACGTGGTGCATCTTCGACATCAAAATTGCCGTATCGAAATTTTGCAAACCAGTTCTGGCACTGGCGTACTGTCAACACATCTTCTCCATACACATCGGTTAATTTCTTTCTAGCTTAAACAGCATTTTTACCTTTTCTATAGTAAAAAAGTAAAATATGACGAAAATGCTGTTTATTGTTCTCCATATTTAAAAAGGTACCAACCAGAAACTACTGCGTAGAATCAATTGGACTTTTTTACACATAAGCCTTGCTATATCAGCTCTCAAAACATATAATGATTATGCGGCTTAAGTGTGAAGTTGGGTGCAAAAAATACAATTAAATCCTCTGTCAGGAAAAAACGAAATTACTTTCTGAACAACCCAATATAATGCTTCCTAGAAGATCGGTCCGGGAAATGTCATCGGATCTTATACTGCCAAAATATTGAAAATAGATATCCTATTTTCGAATCAGTTAGCGCATGTATGCATATGTCCCATTTGGTTGGCTTGTTCGGATTGTATGTGATAAATGATATTTCGCCTTTGAATTTTATCACAGATTCATCAACAGAAATTGCCTTATCTGGTGTGAAATATTAACTAAATTTAAAGTCAATATATTCAAAATAATTGCTAGCCTTTTATACGAGTTCTAATCATGTTATTATTTCGCGTAGGTTTCTTCAAAAGAAGTATCCAAAAGATTTGCAGAAATCTGTCCCTTCTGAAAGTTTCGGAAAAGAAAGGAATTCTATTAATGGAAGCAGTAGACCAATATTCTTGCATATTTGACACTTCAATCAATCTTACTTAGTATAACAGCAATGAAAGCTAGAAATTCTTATTTGGTAACGTTGTGCTACTTGTGTCAAATTGATTTATATGATAGTTATTTGTTTCTTATTTTATTCATTTTTTTTTATTATGTTGTCTATTAATTCACTAGTAAAATATAAAGTAATCTATGGGGTCTTTTATATTATTTGGTATTTGTAGTCCGGTTGATTAGTGATATATGCCAAAATCAATTGTTGGTGGAGAAATGATAAACTCAGTAACGTCTTCCCATTTTTCATTTGACGATATGTTGTCTTTTACGGGTATGTTTTCTTTTAACCTCTTTCCGTGTCATTTTTTTTTCTTTTTAATAGAGGAATAAACAGTCAATTCTCGCAGAGAATTATAAGTATTTTTGCTGTCGTGATATATTGACATGAGTTATAAGTTCAAGACGACATTACAATGATAAATTAACCTAATTAAAAAAAAATTAACTAAATCTTCTTCCTAGATCAGAAGTGTAAAACCTTTTTAGCCTACGTACTAGTTCTGAGGTTTCTAGCAATTTATTTGCTAGAAAATTCGGATGTTTAGCTAGACGAATATTGTAGCGTTCACTAAAGTTAACAATTTCTTCCTTGACTGTAGGAATTCTTAAATCTATATGTATCCTTTCGTTTGTTACATACCAAGGGGCATTGCAAATGTTCTGTAGGGTTTTTGATTGAGATCTTTGTAGAATTTCTATGTTTGAGTTACTACGGTTCCCCATAGTTGAATTCTATAGGTCCAAATGGGTTTTAGAATGGTTTTGTATATTATGAACTTGCTCTCCAGACTTAATTTGGATGATCTGCCAATGAGCCTATATAGCTTTCTAACTCTTTTCTTCAAATAAGTTGTTTTGGATTGAATATGATGTTTCCATGTCAGTCTTTTATCAAGTACCATACTCAAGTATTTGACTGAATCTCTGGTTGGAATTACTGTCCCATTAATTGTCATAGGAGGGCAAGTGCTCTTTCTCAGCGTGAAGGTTACATGTACCGATTTATTTTCATTGATGTTGATTCGCCACTTCTGGCACCATCTTTCAAGCTTGTGTAGATGACATTGCAGTATTTCACTCGCATTTTGACGATCGCTGTCCGAAGCTAACAGAGCAGTGTCATCTGCAAATGTTGCCGTAGTTATCTCCTCTGAGGTGGGTAGATCTACTGTGTAAATTAAATATAGTAAAAGACCGAGTGCACTCTCTTGTGGGACACCAGATAAAAAAGGGAATGCTGTGGTGAATTGATTTAAATACTTTACTATGAATTGTCTGTCAGTGAAGTAGGATTTTACGATTGTGTAAAAAGAGTATGGCAGAGTTTTTTAAAGTTTGTACAGCTATCTAATGTGCCACACTTTATCAAAAGCTTGTCTATTGTCCAGAAATACAGCTGAACAGTATTTTTTCCGTTCGAGATCTTATAATAATTGACGAGTTATACGGTGAATTTACTCAGTTGTGGAATGACGTTTTTGAAACCCGAACTGATGCTCAGGGAAAACTGGTGCATCTAGTGCATCGAAGAGGCGACTTATTAGCATTTTTTCAAATAGCTTGGATATAGTGGATAAAAGATTGATTGGCCGATATGACGTAACTTCATGAGCTGTTTTCCCTGGTTTATGAATAAGAGTTATGGTAGCTACTTTCCAGGATGTTAGATAATAACCTAAACGTAGAATTGCCTTAAATATGGAAGCTATTAATGCTATCCCTTTCTTTGACGATTCCTTTATTATCTTCCCGATAATTAGGTCTTTACCTGGAGCCTTCTTTGAATTTGCGTTAACTGTATTTGTTAATTTTGACATAAAGGGTTTGATTTGTGGCGACAATTGCAAAGGCGCGTTCAGGAAATTCCTAATTTCTTCTTCATCGATGAGCGAAGTGGAGGCAGATGGTTTAAATACATCAGCCAGATGAGAGGCAAAGAGGTTTGCTTTGTCTATTGATATTCTTGCCCATTCACCTAGTGGTTGGCGAAGCGGCGATATGTCTTGAGTTGGACGAGTGAAGCGCCTGGTAGCTTTCCAAAGTGAATAGTTTGAGTCCGCTGTGGGGGACAAGTTCATTAAAATTTTTTGGAATCCTTCATTTTTAAAGCGTTGTAGAGATCTTCTTAAAACTCTGGTAGCTTTATTTAGTTTATGCTTGTCCTCAGGTAATCTGCTATTGTGCTAGATTCTATGCAGCTTTCGTTTTTCTGCAATTTTTTTCATGATATATACGGGGTAGATGTAGTCATACAAGCATTCCAATCTTGGTGTAGAGTCTCGAACAGCATCTACTATATTGCGCGTTAAGTATTAGGTGGACCGGAAAGTAATGTCGTTTCTGCGCATGTCGATATTTGATTACCATTTGTCAGGTCATTGTGTACTTCGAAGTCGTGTCAAAGACATTTTAAGGTTATTGTGACCTATTCACTTCTAATAAATAATTAAATATTAGACTTTTTTTTGCAATTTGGGGTGAAATGGCCAGCCAAATACCAGAAGAGCATATCCGGCATTGTATGCTTTTTGAGTTTCGCAAGGGTAGTAACGCAAGAGTTGAGACCAAAAACACTTGCGATGTTTATCCAAGTGCATTAGACGTTCGTAAATGCCAAAGATGGTTCTCTAAATTCAGATCCGGTAATTTTGATCTCTCTAACTACTATTGATCAGGAAGACCAACAACATTAGACAATGATATACTAAGGCCAGAAGTGGAAGCAAATCCATATCAGACAATCGCGGAATTCTCAAACATCATAAACCAACCTTGGTCGACCATCCAAGAACATTTGCAGCAGTTTGGAAAAATAAGCAGAGCAGGTGTTTGGGTCCCCCATAATCTGTTCGAAGAAAACAAAGCCAACCGATCTATCACATGCAATGTATTGCTTCAACGGCACCATACAGAATCGTTTTTTGATCGCTTGATCACTGGAGACGAAAAATGGATCCTATATGATAATCCAAAACGCAAAAGGCAGTGGCTCTCTCCAAATGAATCACCACAAAGTACTGCGAAGCCGGGTTTACATCCCAAAAGGACGCTTGTGTGTGTTTAGTGGAGTATACGCGGAATTGTTCATTTTGAAGTACTGAAACTTGGACAAACTGTTAATGCAGATCTTTATTGTGAACAATTCGATCGAGTCAACCAATCTTTAATCGAAAAGTATTAGGCGATTGTCAACAGAAAAGGCGTTATTCTGCAACACGACAATGCAAGACCGCACTATGTAAGACGAACCATGGAGAAAATTAATGAATTGGGGTGGGAGGTACTGCTTTACCCACCATACTCGCCCGATATTGCACGCTCGGATTTCCACTTATTTCGATTGCTACAACATTTCCTTAGTGGCAAAAAATTTGAAAATTTGGATGATGTCCAAAATGTTATCTCGAGATATTTTACTGAAAAACCAATTGATTTTTATCGGTCCGGCATTGAAAATTTGCACATTATATGGCAAAAGCCATCGTTGTTGATAACGAAGGTGATTACATTACTGATTAAAAATAAAAACTTGTTAAAAATTTATTCGTTCGAATTTAATTTAAGAAAGCGACATTACTTTCCGATCCGCCTAATAGTTTATTGCATGGTCAACATCGTCATTTGTCATTAATGATGGTGATGCAACGATATAGGAGTTGAAGGCTTCACAGAAATTATCCCAATTTATATGTTTATTGTATATGGAGATAGGAATGTTATTTTCAATGATGTTTGAATTTATTGTCGCTATGATTGGAGAATGATCAGAAGAAAGGTCAAGTGAGGAGTTGACCTGGATGTATCGAAGAGATAAATTTTTGGTAATAAAGAAGTCTAGTAAGCTTGAGAGTTTATTGACATCAGTTGGCCAATGTGTAGGCTCACCTGTATTAATATATGTCAATCTATTGATTTCTATACTTTTTAAGAAAGTTCTCCCCCTTGAGGTTACTGTTCTGCTGCCCCAATTATTGTGTTTAGCATTAAGATCGCCTCCTGCTAAGAATCTAGAGCCTAAACTTTTAAAGAAGTAGTCGAATTCTTCTTTTTGTATACTGTGGCTAGGAGGGTAGTAAATTGCTGATATGTTAAGCGGGCAGTGTCAGTCATATATCTTAATATTAGTTGCCTGGATATGGTTTTGTTTGTATGGCGCAAGCTCATAATGTTTAATGTTATCTTTGATGATAATCGCTGTACTCCTATGTGCCCTTCCACTGGGATGATGCATGCAATACACCTTATACCTATATATTTTAAAATAAGTTTTATCGGTAAAATGAGTCTCAGATACCAGCATTATTTGAATGTCTTGATTTTTTAAGAAAGCTTCCAACTCAACTTTTCGTTGCATCAGACCGTTGGCATTCCAAAGATCAATACGTAAAGTCATCATTAATTTTTGGTGGCAGTCAATTTATTTACAATAGCCGTTAATAGAGAAAGAAGATTATTTATTTCTTCCGTTTGCTTTTCGATTAGTTTTTCTAACTTACTTATATTTTCACAATTGCACGATTTATTGTTATTATTTTCTATAATAGGAGAAGTTGGACTAAGATTATTTGGTGAATGATTGCTTCTTGTAACTGCTTATGCATAAGAAAAGGATGGATCAGTAAAACGTTGGTTATCTCCCATTGGGTTAGTCTTTGAATTTAATTGTATATTTGGATTTTTTCTGTGACTAGGTTTCGGAAATATATTTTCAATATAAAGAATTGAACAATTCTTTATAATGAGGGCACTCTTTGTAGTTTACGGTATGGTGGCCGCCGTATAAGTGACAAGTTGGAGGAGTTTTAGTGGATTCTTTTCATTCTATAGTTGGACGAGAACCTGCACATTTTACACACTTATATTGGCGATTACAGTACTTCTGGGTATGGCCGTATCTTTGGTATCTTTTGCATTGAACTAATTCTTTCTTTTTTATGGGTGGTTCAATTTTAATTATAGTATTATTCAGTTGACTTATGTTATATATGTTATATATAGGTTTATTGTTTGGGTTTTGTTTAAGGTCAATATAGAACATTGACAGTGGCTTGTGTGTAACTTTGTGTCGAATGTTACTAATATTATTTACCTCATGCCCGAACTCTTGTAATTCGTCCTTTAGATTATCCAAATCAACAGAGTGATGTACATTCTAGAACAACACAGATAGAACAACACAGAACGACCGTTCTTGTTTCAGTTGGAAAGTGTGAAAACTTGCGTTAGATGATTTTAATAATTTAGCAATTTTTCTATATGTATCTGCATCAGTTGGTAGGATACGAACTTGGTTATTATTAATTTTTAATTTATAGCTCTCTTTTTTAACGACTTCATCCAAGCATCTCGTTCGTTAATGATTGTATGTCGATTACGTCATCTACATAAATTGGAGAGGGCGGAGATACTTTTGACAAGGTTCGATTTTCTAACATATCTATATCCGTGATTGAATTTAAGATTGATAATCTGTTAGCGGTTGGAAGTGCAGCTTCAGGTCCTGGTAGCCCTTCATCACTGCCATCGTCTTCTCTTGGTCGTTTTTTGTTATTAAGATTTGTTGCATGTCTTGAAGAGGTAACTATTTGCTATGGCGGAAATAGATTTGATGATGACATATCCTAGTCAAGAATATGCGGAGATCTCGTCTCAATTAGCCGACTCGATTTTGAAAGATATTCACTGTAACGGCTTGCTATGAATTTTTCCCGATATCCTCTATGTAAACATAACACTCACGGAACTCAGTTTCGTACGTCTGTATACTCAGAAAGCTAGAACGCGACTCCCCCGTGTCATTTAGCTCGACGAAACTCGGCCCCAAGCGATAGGAGTCAACGTGCGGTAAATAGATAAGACTGATGCTCAAGAACAGTCGCAATACGAGTCGAAATGTAAATACCTGTGATACCTGTGATATAGTCAGTTTTACGCGTTACTGCTGTTGAGAAAGTAAACTCTAATCCTTTTACTTTTATAGATATTATGAATTTATTATAAATTGTAATAGATAATAGTTTCAAAAATATATTGTATGAATAAACAATACTTCAATGGAAATTGAAGCGTCTTCAAAGTAATTTCGTCTCAAGGAATGTAATAATACTACGCCTAAAAATAAATATAGAATACTATAAACAAAAAATCTAATCATAAACAATGTTCACCTCAAATGAATATCTAATAAGAAAATACGTACAACTCTAAAAATTCTCCATGGTATGATACTTCTTAAAACATTCTGGTAGATGTAAGGCTACTTTACATTTCGCACATTCCCACTTCTTTTCACTTTGTATTTTATGTTTATAACGAACTTTACACGTTCTTGTCGGATGTTTATTTCGAGGCGTCGGATCGATATTTTTTAGGAAATGAGCCCAATATTGAGCTTGGAGTCGAAAAGTTTCAACTGATGTAGATTTCCCATGCACTTTGTAGTCCGGTAATTTGACAATTTGTAAAATTGCATTTGCTATATTTATACGGTAATCTACATATGTCTCCCTTTTTCAACTGTGAATTGCTTTATGTATAATATAGGTGTTGAATAGTGCCATATATGACATGTAAAAGAAAAGTTTTCGGTATCCTTTGATGACTTTTTTCATGATTGGGAAACAGGCTAACATCTGATCTTGATAATCAACTGCACTCATACCTTTGTTATATTCCAGGATACTTTTAGGTTTTATTACTTTCTGTAATTCTTTGTTCAATTGTTCAACCATTTCTACAGTTTCGTGTTTCATTGATATTATATACACGTCGCGCTTGTCCTTCCATCTTAAACCTATCAAATTATTGCAACTTCTCCATATACATTCTCCTTTCTTCAGAATATGCTTTTGAATGGCGTTTGGCATATTTTTCTTATTTTTGCGTACTGTCCAGATAATGTTTGTCTTTTTTTGGTATAATTTTAATAAGAGATTGGGTGAAGAGTATAAGTTGTCCAAAAACAAAGTATATTCCTTATTTATTATAGATTTTGACAGGTTTATCACAACGTTCTCTGACGCACTATCATTTCGATCATTTTGTCCTGGCCGGTATATATTTTGAATCCGTGACAGAAACCGGTACTTACCTCGCACAGTTTGTAAATTTTTAATCCAAATCGAGCTCTTTTCGACAGATTGAATTGTTTATACGCTAAATGCCCTTTATATTTCATTAGAGATCCGTTTATACTGACATTCATTGGGTGTGTAAATTTCTTTAAATTTTTCATTCCAAAAGTTGATCATAGATCTTATCTTAAGAAATCGGTCATTACTATCAGCAGTTTCATTATCAGAGAAATGAAAAAATCTCGAAATTTGCCGAAATCTTTTAAAAGGCATCGTTTGTCAAAATATTGGCGTTTCTACTACAGCTCTTTTAGTCCAATACAGAATATTTGATTTTTTCACTTGACTCATCAAAATACACAGTGCATAATAGGCTTTTATTTCGTTTAAGGTAACAAGATACCAAGTGTCGTCTATATGTTATCTTTTACGCTCGTCCTGAATTGTCTGATGTGTGAAGCGATTTGTTTCCGTAACCAATATTTCTCAAAATTCTTTCCAAATATAATAAAGAATAGTTCTAATATTCTTTGATTCTCTCTTAAATTATTTAAAATAGATACTTTTATTCCATGATATTCAGAATACTTCCAAACTATTGGTGTGTTTTTTATTTCCTGCCAAATCCATGATTGTTGGATTTGTGCCTAACCATGAGGTTGTGTTATACCTTTCATTTCACTACTTTCATCTATAATCAGACGCCTTACATGCTGTGTGATTGGCTGAAACACGTCATTACCACTGGATTCGTTATCATCGCTTTCATTTAACACTTTTGTATTTCGTATTTTATAGGGGTTTCCTAAATTTCAATAACTAAACTGCTTTGTAACAGCCATTATAAGAATTGTGATTGACTGTTATAGAGTACTGACAAGAATTAACATTCAATTACGATCGTAACTGACAAAAAATCATTCTGCGAGTTTGTTATGTTTACGTTTGGCCTAAGTATCTGTTCGCAAGCTTGGCTTCTGATGTTTATGTTTGACCCGACATCTGTTCACGAGCCTGACTCGTGATATTCATGTTTGGCCCGACTATCTATTCGCGAGTCTGACTCGTGATATTCATGTTTGGGCTAAAATCTTTATCACGAGTCAGTCTCGTTAAAGTAAGGGAAGGGGTTAAACCATTTTCATCGCTATCACTATCTATGAGATTCCTTCGTTTTCTTGTTGGTTGGGTGATATTATTATCATTACTATCGTTTTCTTCCGCATGAATATTTATTTTTTTTAATCTATCTATATAAATGTCTATTTGGAATTCATCTTCACTACTGCTTATAGCATGAGACTTACTGGTATTTGGTCGTTTCACCATTGTTATAATAAAAAAAAGAATAAAAAAATGGATTGAAAATCATTAATGGTAAATTACGGAATTGCAAAATTAGCTATTACTGCAGGAATCTCTATCATTTAACGCTTTAATATGAACCGAGTTATTGAAATTTTTTTCCCCAATTTTAAGATTGCTTGATTATTTTATCAAGTTTCACTATATTATACTTGCCATACTCGCGTACCTTTCTTTTATAAATTCTTTTTATTGGTCCTTTTTACACATTGACTGTCGCGT